ATACTACTACAAATACATGTAAATATGTACTAATACTAATACTCCCGTGAATACTTCATCAAATACTACTGCAAATATTACTAGAAATACATGTAAATATGTACTAATACTAATACTCCCGTGAATACTTCATCAAATACTACTGCAAATATTACTAGAAATACATGTAAATATGTACTAATACTAATACTCCTGTGAATACTTCATCAAATACTACTGCAAATATTACTAAAATACATGTAAATATGTACTAATACTAATACTCCCGTGAATACTTCATCAAATACTACTGCAAATACTACTACAAATACATGTAAATATGTACTAATACTAATACTCCCGTGAATACTTCATCAAATACTACTGCAAATATTACTAGAAAATACATGTAAATATGTACTAATACTAATACTCCTGTGAATACTTCATCAAATACTACTGCAAATATTACTAGAAATACATGTAAATATGTACTAATACTAATACTCCTGTGAATACTTCATCAAATACTACTGCAAATACTACCACAAATACATGTAAATATGTACTAATACTAATACTCCCGTGAATACTTCATCAAATACTACTGCAAATACTACTACAAATACATGTAAATATGTACTAATACTAATACTCCTGTGAATACTTAATCAAATACTACTGCAAATACTACCACAAATACATGTAAATATGTACTAATACTAATACTCCTGTGAATACTTCATCAAATACTACTGCAAATACTACTACAAATACATGTAAATATGTACTAATACTAATACTCCCCTGAATACTTCATCAAATACTACTGCAAATACTACTACAAATACATGTAAATATGTACTAATACTAATACTCCCGTGAATACTTCATCAAATACTACTGCAAATATACTACAAAATACATGTAAATATGTACTAATACTAATACTCCCGTGAATACTTCATCAAATACTACTGCAAATATTACTAGAAATACATGTAAATATGTACTAATACTAATACTCCCGTGAATACTTCATCAAATACTACTGCAAATACTCCCACAAATACTACTAAAAATACTACTACAAATACTACTAGAAATACTACTAGAAATACTACTACAAATACTACTACAAATACATGTAAATATGTACTAATACTAATACTCCCGTGAATACTTCATCAAATACTACTGCAAATACTCCCACAAATACTACTAAAAATACTACTACAAATACTACTACAAATACATGTAAATATGTACTAATGCTAATACTCCCATGAATACTTCATCAAATACTACGGCAAATGCTACTGCAAATACTACTAGAAATACTACTTCAAATACTCCTAGAAATATATCAAATACTATGGCAAATACTACTATAAATATTACTGCAAATACTACTATAAAGACTACTGCAAATACTCTTAGAAATACATGAAATACTACTGCAAATACTACTATAAATACATCAAGCACTACTGCAAATACTACTATAAATACTACTGTAAATACTCCTATAAATACATAAAATACTACTGCAAATACTCTTAAGATGTAAAAACTGTAGGCACTACTGCAAATACTTTTAGAAATACATCAGATACTACTGCAAATACTTTTATAAATACATCAAATACTACTGCCAATACTCTTAGAAATACATCAGATACTACTGCAAATACTCTTACAATGTAAATACGACAAGTACTACTGCAAATGCTGTTATAAACAAATGTATATATGTACTACTGCAAATATTATTATAAATACATGAAATACTACTGTGAATACTTTTATAAATACATGAAATACTACTGCAAATTTAAAGGTGCACTGTGTAACTTTTCCAATAGGGAAGTCTGAGGCCTGCTTGTTTCTATGGGGATGTTACAGCTTTACCTGAAATGTTCCACAGTATCATTAAAGTCTGACTCTGCAGTTAAGTTGACTGAAAATCTCACCTACTTTTTAAATTTTTTTTTTAAATATATATACATTTTTATTTTTATTATTCTTTTGGTGAATTTTGTAATGTTATTTCCAGGTTGGACACTGCAGTAGAAGCGACACGTGTAAAGGTAATTCAATCATGTAAACAAGGGCCAAAACAGGTCTAAAATTACACAATAGTTATAATTAGACTGACAAAAATAAATGACAACAAATTTATACAATTTCAAATCTCTTTACAGCATCATTAAATTGTCTGAAGTAAAACTGAATTTAAATTTTCCATAATAATAAAATAATCATCATATTAAAGCTTATATACAGATGTACTTTACAGAGTTGCTTTACAATTAAAAGCATTATTCTTTCACTCTTTCTATCGCTCTCTCTCTGTTGTAGCCACAGCTGCCCTGGGACAGACTGACAGAAGAGAGGCTGTCGATCTGCGCCATCGGCTCCTCTGACAAAAACAAACCTCCGACTGTTGAATTTGTGTTTGAGCGCTTAAACGACAGAGACACAACCAGCCTTACCACGTCAAATACTCAATAAACAATAATAATGTAGCGATAATAATATGATTTTACACATAAAATAAAATAAAATCCTACAAAACTATTTATTCCATACTTTCAGTCAGTACAGATTTAACAATATCCAAATCTCACGGTTCGATATTTATTACGATATTTTGAAGAAGCTGATATAATTGTAGATAGGACACTTTTTTGCTTTTAAAACACCTTGACAAGATTTTGGTGTGAATTATTTCCGTCATAATCCCAAGAATTCAAGTAAAAAACATATTTCTTCATGTTGTCTGCGCTGAAATGAATCATGGGATATGTAGTTTCCAATGTTTATTAACTATTACAGCTATAAAACGATGCACTTAAGCAAAGAAACTTGTAATTCGATATATTGTGACAGCCCACGATATTATTGTGAGACTTTTGACGATACGATATCACGATATTTTGGTTTTTGTTACATCCCGATCAGTCAGGTTACTCTCTCTGTTATAGAAGATGATCAAAATGACAGTTGCGATAGAGATCAGGAGTTCATCGACAAATGGTATGCAACTTTTTACGCAAATAAACAAATAAAAAATGACACGTTTTGAGACAAGGAAGACAAGAAAAAATTCAGATTACGGGTTCTAAGCGTCTAAAAACTCGTAACAAGATTAAATCAAAGTGAAATCTGAAGTTGTACCTTTTCGTTCAGACCTCTTTTTCCTCCTCCTCTTACACCTGCGCCGCACCAGACACACCAGGGCAGGATCCAGGAGCAAAACCATGTCCAAGACCTCTTTAAGACCACACTAAGTTCTGGTTTAGTCCTGGTTTAAGTTCTGGTTTTAAGTCCTGGTTTAGGTCCTTGTTTAGTCCTTATTTACTTCTTGTTAAATCCTGTTTTGGTCCGGGTTTAAGTCCTGGTTTAGTCGTGGCTTAGTCCATGTTTAGTCCTGGTTTAGTCCAGGTTTAGTCCTCACTTAGTCCTAGTTTTAGTTCTGTTTAGTTCTGGTTTAGTCCTAGTTTTATTTCTGGTTTAAATTCTGGTTTAGTCCTGGGTTTAGTCCCCGTTTGTGTCGCGTTTTAAGTCCTGGTTTAGTCCTAACTTCAAAATGGTTTAGTCCTGGTTCAGTCCTGCTTCAGTCCTCGCTTAGTCCTGGTTTAATCTTGGTTGTAGTCCTGGTTCGGTCCTGTTTTTAGCCTTGTTTCTAGTCCTGGATTTAGTCCTGTTTAAGTTCTGGTTTAGTTCTGGTTTGGTCCTGGTTTAATCTTGGTTTAGTCCTGGATTGAGTCCTGCATTAGTCCTGGTTTAGTCCTGTTTTAGTCCTGATTCAATCTTGTTTTAATCTTGGTTTAGTCCTGCTTTAGCCCCGATTTAGTCCTGCTTCAGTCCCGGGTTTAGTCCTGCTCTAGTCCTGGGTTTAGTCTTGCTTTAGTCCCGGTCTAGTCCTGGTTTAGTCCCCTCGCTGTGCTCAGATCCAGAGCCAGGACCAGACTGACTGCATGTGCTGCTAAACGCCTGTCAAACCAGCGGCCCCTCCCTCACGGAAAACCACGGACCTGTTTTGTTGTGGTTTGGACGAGTACGGAAGCTCTCCAGGGACAAAAGACGCACTTCACCAGACAATACACGATTTGGAAGACGTTCAATTTCGAGGATTTGAGAAAAAAAAACAAAAAAACATTTTGTCGTGGTAAAGGATTAACTCAAAACCTAAAAACAAAAAAAACACAAAACGCATCAGTTCTTCAATGGTCGATGTGTCTAGTTTATAATTTTCACCACATATTTATAAATTAAAGCTTGTCAATATAAATCAAATGTTTATTAATGTTTTTATTTATTATTCTTTAGTTTTACCCTTTAAGAGCTACCGCAACTAGAAAACAGTGAATTAAATGAATACTGATAACACTTTAAGGCTATTTTCAAGCTAGAAAATACTGAGATTTGAAATAAAATTAATTTTAATTCATATATTTTAATGTCTGTAATTGTTTAAGTACAAAATTTTAACTCTCAGCTCAAATCAGGCTTAAAAATTTGAGTGTTTATTAGTGTTTTGTGTGTGAAATCTGCTTCTGCTATTTGTAAGCTTGCACTGCCCTCTGGTGGTCAGGTGTGTGTACTGCGATCACAACTTTTTCAATTTTTTTTGTTTTTGTTTTTCAATTTTCAAATGTATCTTAAAAGTTTAAAAAATTTATTCAAAATCAGCAGTTTTCCTCATTTTGTGTGTGTATTTTTTTTTATCTTAAATCTGATCAAAAAAATTCTATTATTATTGAATTTTTACCAAGTTTTTAAGCAAAATCAGCTAAACTTACCTCATATTTGCATTTTTCCAAAACAAAACTCAGCTAGAATGCATTTTACTAAATAACAAAGCAAAATATTGTGAAAAATGTTTAAATAAATACAACTATTGACAATACGAGTGCTCACAAGACAAAAAAAAAAATAAAAAATCCTTAATTCTAACAATGAATCTGTAAATTAAAACAAAATAATAATAATAATAAAAACAAAAAAATACTGACCTCGTGTTGAGCTTCAATGACCCCAACTTCACCTCAAAACGTGATCTGAAAAACAAGAAAATATATGATCAAAATGAGTTCAGAAATAGTGTGGTGCAGGGTGTTGTGGCAGAGAAAATCCACTAGAGGGCGCAGTTGTTCTTTCATTTATTCCCATTTCTTTACGAGCACGAGGAGAGGATTTGAGGAGAAGAGTTTTTAATTAAAAATCTGTAGGCCTGGAGGAAAAACTCAGTGGGAAATGAAAGCTGGACTGAAATAATAACTGAACGTATCAATTATGTATTTTTTTTTTTAAGTCAAATTCCCGTCTGATTAGTTTTAATAATAATATTTCCATTTTTAATTAAACCAAAGGGAAAAAGCAGCGTAAATATTAGTGCAAATACATAAAAACAATAAATATAATGTGACTGCTTTGCCTAAAATGTTCCTAAGTATGGAATTAAATCTTGCTATCTCCATGGAAACAAGCAGGTGACACTACTAGGGCAAGTTACAGGTCAGATCTGTGGAGAGGCGACGCTGCTTACAGTAAAAATGCCTGTTTCTATTTTATTATTATTATTATTATTTTTTTTAATCATTATTATTATTTATTATTTTTATTATTTTTTTTATATATTTATATATTTATTATTTATTTATTTATTTTATTGATATATTTATTTATTTTATTTAATTTCATTTCAGAAACACCTGTGATTGAATAAATGTAAGATGGTTTTAATGCCGTACTGTGGAACATTCCAGGCAGAGCAGTGACATCTCCACGGAGACAAGACAGTGTCAGATTCCCGACCAGAAAAGTTCCACAGTGCACAGTAACGTTTGGACGGATTTAGCGCTCGACTCTTACACAACAAAACAACGGCAATCTAATTTACGACAACTAGCATGCGAACCAGGCACTCCTGATTCCAAGACGTATAAAACTTAAAGGTTTAAAAGTGAAAATAAACAGCAACAGAATATTTGTTTTATCTGAGCTGGAGGAGAAAAAATTTGATAAAATACATGAGGGAAAAATCAGGTAAAGATCTCTCTCTTTCTTCTCTCTCTCTCTCTCTCTCTTCTCTCTCTCTCTCTCTCTCTTTCTTTCTCCTCTATCTCTCTCTCTTTCTTTCTCTCTCTATCTCTCTCTCTCTTCTCTCCTCTATCTCTCTCTCTTTCTTTCTCTTTCTCTTCTCTATCTCTCTCTCTTTCTTTCTCTCCTCTATCTCTCTCTCTTTCTTTCTCTCCTCTATCTCCTCTCTCTCTTCTTCTCTCTCTCTCTCTTCTCTTCTCTCCTCTATCTCTCTCTCTTTCTTTCTCTCCTCTATCTCTCTCTCTTTCTTTCTCTCCTCTATCTCTCTCTCTTTCTTTCTCTCCTCTATCTCTCTCTCTATCCCTCCTTCTCTCCTCTATCTCTCTCTCTTTCTTTCTCTCCTCTCTCTCTCTCTCTTTCTTTCTCTCCTCTATCTCTCTCTCTATCCCCCCTTCTCTCCTCTATCTCTCTCTCTATCCCTCCTTCTCTCCTCTATCTCTCTCTCTTTCTCTCCTCTATCTCTCTCTCTTTCTTTCTCTCCTCTATCTCTCTCTCTTTCTTTCTCTCCTCTATCTCTCTCTCTCTCTCCTTCTCTCCTCTATCTCTCTCTCTTTCTTTCTCTCCTCTATCTCTCTCTCTATCCCTCCTTCTCTCCTCTATCTCCTCTCTTTCTCTCCTCTATCTCTCTCTCTATCCCTCCTTCTCTTCTCTATCTCTCTTCTTTCTCTCCTCTATCTCTCTCTTCTTTCTTTCTCTCCTCTATCTCTCTCTCTTTCTTTCTCTCCTCTATCTCTCTCTCTTTCTTTCTCTCCTCTATCTCTCTCTCTTTCTTTCTCTCCTCTATCTCTCTCTCTTTCTTTCTCTCCTCTATCTCTCTCTCTCTCTTCTTCTCTCCTCTATCTCTCTCTCTTTCTTTCTCTCCTCTATCGTCCTCTCTCTTTCTTCCCCTTCTCCCCTCTCTCTCTCGCTCTTGCTTTTCCCCCTTCTCTGTCTCTCTCCTTCTCTTCCGCCTCTCTCCCTCCTTCTTGCTCCTTCCTCCATCTCTCTCTCTTCCCTTCTCCTGTCTTTAACTCTCCCTCTCCTCTCCTCCCTGTCTCTCTCTCTCTGTCCTACTCTCTCTCTCCTTTTCTCCTCTCTTTCACTTTCCCTTCCTCCTTCTCCCTCCCTCTCTCCCTCTCTCTCCTCTCTCCCTCCTTCTCTCCTCTCTCTCTCTCTCTCCCTCCTCTCCTCCATCTCTCTCTTCCCTTCTCCTCTCCTCTCTGTCCTATTCACTCGCTCTTCCTCCCTCCTTCTCTTCTCTAGCTTTCTCTCCCTCCTCTCTCCATCCTTTTTCCTCCATCTCTCTCTCCCCTTCTCCTCTCTTTCGGTGTCCCTCCCGCTCTTCCCTCTCTCCTCCATCTCTCTCTCCCTCCTCTCTCTCCCCTTCACCTCTCTTTCACTCTCTGTCTCTCTCTCTCTTTTCTTCTTCTCTACCTCCTTTTGCACCTTCTCTCATCCCCCTCTCCCTCTCTCCCTCCCTCTTCCTCTTCCTCCCTCCTTCTCTCTGTGACCATCTGGACCTGAACCACTTGAAGTCCTGGATTATCCTTAAAAACTCCACCTCGGAATTTTAATTTACAAAAAAACGTGGAAAAACCTGCGCAGATTTCGTCGAAACGCACAAACACGAACACAAAAACACAAAAACACACACAAACGCACAAACAAACAAATAAACACACACCGTTCGTTTTGTTTTATGTAACGCGATAAGAGTTTAAGAGTTTAAGAGTTTAAGAGTTTAAGAGTTTAAGTAGCAACAACATCTGTCAACATGTGGATCCGGATCTGCAGCGTGTGAAGAAAAAACACAAATATGATCAACACAAAACCTGCTCCACATGAAACAAACACAACCACTGGATCAAAGGACTAAAACAGGACTAAAACAGGACAAAACAGGACTAAAACAGGACTAAACCAGGACTAAAACAGGACTGAACCAGGACTAAAACAGGACTAAACAAGGGCAAAACCAGGACTAAAACAGGACTAAACCAGGACTAAAACAGGACTAAAAACAGGACTAAACCAGGACTAAACAGGACTGAACCAGGACTAAACCAGGACTGAAACAGGTCTAAAACAGGACTAAACAAGGACTAAAACAGGTCTAAAACAGGACTAAACCAGGACTAAACCAGGACTCAGGAAACAGGTCTAAACAAGGGCAAAACCAGGACTAAAACAGGACTGAACCAGGACTAAAACAGGACTAAACCAGGACTAAAACAGGACTGAACCAGGACTAAAACAGGACTAAAACAGGACTAAACCAGGACTAAAACAGGACTGAACCAGGACTAAACCAGGACTGAAACAGGACTAAAACAGGACTAAACAAGGACTAAAACAGGACTGAACCAGGACTAAAACAGGACTAAACCAGGACTAAAACAGGTCTAAACAAGGGCAAAACCAGGACTAAAACAGGACTGAACCAGGACTAAAACAGGACTAAACCAGGACTAAAACAGGACTGAACCAGGACTAAAACCAGGACTAAAACAGGTCTAAACAAGGGCAAAACCAGGACTAAAACAGGACTGAACCAGGACTAAAACAGGACTAAACCAGGACTAAACCAGGACTGAAAACAGGTCTAAAACAGGACTAAACAAGGACTAAAACAGGTCTAAAACAGGACTAAACCAGGACTAAACCAGGACTAAAACAGGTCTAAACAAGGGCAAAACCAGGACTAAAACAGGACTGAACCAGGACTAAAACAGGACTAAAACAGGACTAAAACAGGTCTAAACAAGGGCAAAACCAGGACTAAAATAGGACTGAAACAGGACTAAACAGACTAAAACAAGAGGACTAAAACAAGACTAAACCAGGACTAAACCAGGACAAAACCAGGACTAAACCAGGACTAAAACATGACTATATCAGGACTAATCAAGGCATGAATCAGGTTTAAACCAGGACTAAAAAAATGAGTAAACCAAGACTAAACCAGGACTAAACAAGAACTAAGTCAGGTCTAAATCAGGACTAAACCAGGTCTAAACCAGGCCTAAATAGGAACTAAATCAGGTCTAATCCAGGACTAAACAAGGCATAAAACAGGTTTAAACCAGGACTATACCAGAACTAAACAGGGACTAAGTCAGATCCAAACCAGGACTAAACCAGGTCTAATTGCCGACTGGGAACTCCCCACAACCGCTGCACTAAACCAGAACCAAACCAAGATTTAACTAGGACTAAACCTGGACTAAATCAGACCAGGATTAAACCAGAACTAACCCAGGACTAAACCAAGTCTAAACCAGGACTAAACCAAGTCTAAACCAACTAAACCAGGTCTAATTGCCGACTGGGAACTCCCCACAACCGCTGCACTAAACCAGAAACAAACCAAGATTTAACTAGGACTAAACCTGGACTAAATCAGACCAGGACTAAACCAGAACTAACCCAGGACTAAACCAAGTCTAAACCAGGACTAAACCAGGTCTAAACCAAGTCTAAACCAGGTCTAACCCAGGACTAAACCAGCTCAAATACCCTAAAACAGGTAAGTAGTGGACAGTTCCTAGTGCTGAAATGCAAACACCTATAAAAAACATTAAAATAAATAAAATAAAAGAATAATATTTAATAATCAGAGCGTTAGAAAAAAAAAATTAAAATAAAAAAGTGGACTTGCGTGAAGAAAACTGTTTAGCAGAGCCACATAAATTAAAAAAGAGAAAAAAAAAACACACACACTCCGAACACGATTGATTTCTCGGTTATAATTTATCCTCCGAGTTCACATCTGTGGAAGTCATCGTGTTTCCGAAACGCATGAGAGTGAAAAAAAAAAAAAAAAAAAGCGGCCTTACAGAGGAGACATTGTTTACACGGAGGAGCAGAGGAGGACACGGGACCGAAATATCCCACGATGCACTGCTGCGGCGGTGAGCGATGGCGAGGGGAGAGCGAGGAGAGAGCGAGGAGAGAGCGCACCTGCGAAACGACCGAACGC